ATAAATGACTAAATTTTCTTTTACAATATTTTGCCGTTGTCCCGGTGATTTTTGTAAACATTGATTGTTTAAGTGTTAATTACTTCAAAGCAGTCAGTTTGAAACTACTCTAATTGTTCTTCTTAGATAAATGGTAGTATTATACTGCAATTAATAATAATTACTGAGTAAAAATGTAAATGATTAATTCACAAATCAGAAAACACCAGAGATAAAATGAAAATAGCATATGCATTAAATCTTTAGTTAGTTGGAGAAACTCATCCACAGTCGGGTGCATACACTTAATTTTAATTCAGCTATAAAAATAATAATTTAAAAAAAAAAACAAAAAAAAAACAGATGAATAAGGGCGTATTATCCGACTCTCGCTGGAAGCGAGGGTGTGAGTTATGCAGGAGTATCGCCCATAAGGTAGGAGGAGCGTGTCTTTGCTAGTGGCGCAACATCGCCTACACCTTCTTAGGTGTGTCCCTCTAAAAGCAGCAGGTACCTCCGCACTTTCTCTACTGTTTCTCTGCTGGAAAACTTGAACCGTCCAGGATGCATCAGACCTTTTCGCTTCTTTTTCTCTTCCTTTTTACCGGTGAGGACGCGTTGTAGTATTTATCTTAAGACTTATGTTATAACAGCTGTTTATTATGCCTTGTTTTCACGGTTTCCCTGAAGTTAATTGACAATATGAATGTTAAAACAACTTTATTTCTGAAATCTACGTTTTTGTTTACCCACAGGGTTCTGTGTAGGAAACATTCTTCCTGAGGGTCCTGTGGATGTCATTTTGGGGAAAGATGTAACTCTTAACGTACTGTATAAAAAGCAGGACGGTGACATTTTTATATGGAATTACAGCGACGGGAAAGTGACAAATAATGTAGCAACATTGCGCCCAGGTGTTGGGTTAACGGTGGGCGAAGCCTATAATGACAGAGCTTCTATTAACACCACCAACGGGTACCTGACTCTGAAGTCCCTAAAATCAGCGGACAGCGGGGATTACGACCTCACCATTGTAACGTTAGACCCTAATGCACCTGCAAGTACTCTTGCCGGAGCGATTAAAGTCCGAGTTCTGGGTGAGTAGTTACTTTTTTTTTTTACGTTATTGGAATACCTCCAAATCTTCATACATTTTCGTTAATTAGATAATCAATCGTCCGCCGGTTAAAAAAAAATAGGCATCTGAGAGCAGATATCCCTCCGCCACCTGAAAATCAGGTATAACTGTGGAAAGCGGGCGTCACCTTGCAACCACAAATGTTACGACCACGTCTTCGAGGCAGAAAAATAAAAAAAAATGTCGCTCTGACTTTTCTTCCCATTGTTTATGCACTTTAAGGGTTTGCATATTATTATGAGTGTGTAACAGAGAAGAATGAGGAAAAAGGTAAAGGTCAGCAGCAGTCTTGTTCACCGTAGGATATCAGGGCGTGGCTCCAATAGTAGGCCTGCTCTGCT